AGTACAAATATTGATAACAGGCATGAGAATATTGATATTTTTCATCCATCTCTCTCTTTATTGTAAGGTGACATTAACTGAATCTTACAAGGTTAAAAGTAAATTTCTCCTCCCTTAGCTTTACAGCCCAAGAAACTAGAGAGGGCCCTTTCTGAGACATTTACCTCTCTCTCTCTCTCTCTCTCTCTCTCTCTCTCTCTCTCTCACACACACACACACACACACACACACACACACACACACTTCTTTCTGTGGGTTCAGCTGTCTCTTATCTGACAATTTCCTAGTCTGTGGCTCTGCCTCTTCTCTCAAGGTCATTCCCACATATTATTACACAATCTGACCATCTGCATTAAAACCATTCCACAGATGTGAAGTACAAGGAGATCCACTGTACTAGACTTAAATTAGCATTAAGTCTAAAAATGAAAAGCCACATGAGTTTATCCATGAAAAACAATATCTCCCCAAAGCAATTTTGATAGAAAAAGTAGCTTAAGAAGAAAGGGTTAAGCTTAAGGGTTCTTATCAATTTCCAGTCAAAATACTGTAGTTATTATTTCAGAAAATTACATTCAGGAAACAGGGCAGGCAATATCATTGATCCATTCATTTCTCAGAATCTAATTTGGTCTGGTCGTAAAAAATGCATACTCTGTTGAACTTCCTTTTAAATTTAAAAAATGGGGCAAGACGACTCCATCAAGCTAACAAAATTCAAATTTTGCTTAGTGCAGCCGATTAATAAGTTCATTGTGAGCCTCAGGTCTGGATTTTATAACTGAGATGGAGTTTGATTTGGCATTTTAAACATTGACAATTTTGTTGCCATTATTCTTTCCACTGCTAAAGATAAAGATGTTAAGATAAACATAATCCAATTCTTGGAAGCTCCTCGTGATCTTAATAAGTGGCTAAATGTTTGAACAAACGCATGCAAAAACTAATAAATATTATTTTTGGAAAGGCCAGATTAAGACCAATTGATGTCCTAAGTACAGCCCAAAATGGTGTCCCTTCATAAAAGCAAAACTCTCATGCCATAAAACAAATGTGATATCAGACAATACCTTCAAACCAAACTTTTAAAATTTAGTCACCATGCCAATGTTTTTAACATTACAGATTGAAGTTGAACATGACAGATAAGGACAATTACCAAAATAAAATTGATTAAAGTCAAACAGCAGTCAAAAAATAAGGGGCATGATAGCTAGGGAAAAACATTCTTTGGTATTCCCTTGCTTTGGTATCCTAAGCAGGTGCTTGTTTTGCTTATTGGTTAATCCTAGGCTATTTTTCGGCTAGGACCCCTAGTTTTGCAAGAAACAGTAGTAAAACCAGCAGGAGGCTCCGCACACTGACCTGGACATCATCAGAAGCTTCTGCGCATGCGCAGAAGAGCGCGCGCACATGTGAGCGAAGCAATCACGCGTGTGCAGGCACGATATGAACCGGTAGTAAAGGTAAGTAGAACCACCCCTGGCTAGGACTCAGCCTTCCATTCTTCTGAGGTTGGTAAAATGAGGACCCAGATTGTTGGGGGCAATATGCTAACTGTAAGCTATTCAGAGAATGCTGTAAAGTACTATAGAGCAATATATAAGTCTTTATGTAAAGGATCATCACAGTTTCCCAAATGTGATCATCATTACAGCATCTCTCTGTAAAATTTCAGAAGTTAAAAAAAACTTTTTTTTGCTTCCAAGTCAATGTTGATTCCTGGCGACTACCTGCATGAATACCTGCAATTCCTTGGCAGGGTTTTGCAGAAGTGATTTGCCACTGTCTCTTTCCTAGGACCAAGATAGATAGAGTGTCCCCAGATCACTCAGCTGGCTTTGACTAGAACCCACGGCCTCTCACCTTTTAGCCTGGTGCCTTAACCACTATACCAAAGTGGTTCTCTAAATTAGTAGAAATCCTAATAGTAATAGAACTTAAGACTTATATATCGCTTTATAGTGCTTTTACAGCCCTCTCTAAGCTATTCACAGAATCAGCATATTGCCCCCAACAATCTGGGTCCTTATTTTACCGATCTTGGAAGGATGGAAGCAGTAGTGAAATCCATTTTTTTTTACTACCGGTTCTGTGGGTGTGGCTTGGTGGGCGTGGCAGGGGAAGGATCCTGCAAAATCTCCATTCCCAACCCACTCCAGGGGAAGGAAACTGCAAAATCTCCCTTCCCACACCACTCTGGCGCCATTTGCTGGTATTTGCTGGTTCTCCGAACTACTCAAAATTTCTGCTACCAGTTCTCCGAACTGCTTAAAATTTCCTCTGCCGGTTCTCCAGAACCTGTCAGAACCTGCTGGATTTCACCCCTTGATGGAAGGCTGCGTCAACCTTGAACCGGTGAGATTTAAACTGCCAAACTACAGCTAGCAGTCAGCTGAAGTAGCCTGCAGTGCTCCACTCTAACTACTGCGCCACGTTGGCTCTAATCTTGTAATTTGAGTTGGATAATTAGACCCTAAGCTGTAGAACAGTAGAGTAACATGAATTCTCTTCAGCATTAGCCTTTGTGGCCAATGATGAAGCATGATATTAGTTGCAGTTCAACCCTGAAAGGCTGTGCATAATTCTAAAGCAGGAATAGAGAATAGATTTGTTCCATATTTCATCCGCAATCAATCCATCATGTGTTTGGCTATCATGTTGCCTCTCATGATTTCTTTCTCAGGCTAAGCATATCCAGTTCCTTAAAACTTTCCATGTACCGTAGTACACATATCTGGTATCTCATCACCTACTTTGTCACCTACTTCCTGGTTATGTTCACTAAGATGTGGCACATCAAGAAAGCCACAGGAAAGGCCTAACCAAAACAGAACAGATTGCTCCCATTAGAATAATGTGTACTGTGGGCACTGGGCCACCACTAATGTTTTCGTTATTAAGAAAATTTATATGGCTGCCCAACTCACGGTGACTAGGAAAGCTTATATATAGACTTAGCTCAGGGAATCAGATTCCAGAAAAGCAATGCAAACAAAAGTGAGCATAAGCATGTAGAATTAAGACACTTTACAAAGCTGCAGGAGGAAGAGAAACCTATATTCATGTATCACATTTAACCATCGATAATTAAACTATGGCCTATGAAATACTGTAAGCCACAATCAGCAAGATTCACCCATCATCTCCCTCAATTCATGCTTTAGAAAGCTCCTGCAAATTGTTATGTCAAAACCAAACACATCATATTATGGCTTAATATGGTCCTAGGACCCCTTCCCAGGGTCTCCAAAATCAGATGTATTTGCCAGCCTATACTAAGTAGTTCTTGACTTACAACTATTTTAGTGACTGTTCAGTTACATCATTAAAAAAAGGGACATATGACTGGTTTTCACACAACTATTGCCGCATCATGATCACATGATCAAAATCCAGGCACTTGGCAACTGGCATGTATTTATGACAGTTGCACTGTCCCATGGTTATGCAATCACCATTTGTAACCTTCCCAGCTGGCTTTTGACAAGCAAAGTCAACTGGGGAAGCCAGATTCACTTAATGACCGCATGATTCATTTAACAACTGCAGTGACTCACTTAACAACTGTGGCAAAAAAGGTAGTAAAATGGTGCATAATTCATTTAATAACTGTCTTGCGTAGCAACAAAATTTATGGGCTCAACTGTGATAGCAAGTTGAGGACTACCTATCTTAAAATCCCATCAAAAAAATCATGAGAAGCAGTAGCAGCAACGAAAGCATTCATTTTAAATGTTAACATAAGTACAGGTAGTCTTCAATTTACAACTACAATTGAGCCCAAAATGTATGTTGTTAAGTGAGTTTTCCCCCACTTTATGACTTTTCTTGCCACATTTGTTAAGTGAATCACTTGCAGTTGCTAAATTAGTAATACGGTTGTTAAGTGAATCTGGTTTTCCTATTGATTTTGTTTGTCAGAAGGTCGCAAAAATCCGAGGGTCACTGCAATCATCCATATATAGATCAGTTGCTAAGGTCTGAATTTTGATGATGTGACCACAGGGATGCTGCAATGGTCATAAGTGTGAAAAATGGTCATAAGTCACTTCTTTTAGTGCCGTTGTAACTTCAAACGACCATTAAACGAACTGTTATAAATCAAGGATGAATACCTGTATTGATAAACATAACCCACATTATTTGGATCCTCCATAATTTTTAAAAGTGGGAAGGGCTCCAGAGTGAAAAAAGTTGTGTGGGGGGGGAAACTACTGCCCTAGCATATTGAGGAAACCAGGCAGAAGAAGTTCACATTCCCACACCCCGCAATCTAAAATCAATATGAATTAAATGTCTCTCAGGGGGCAGTCTAAGATTAGTGCAGCCTTTCTTCCCCTATAGGTTCCCCTGGTACATATGTGCTAGTTGTTCCTGACTCTAGTGGGATGTTGCACATCTCCGTTTCAAAGCCGAAGAGCCAGTGCTGTCCAAACACATCTCCATGGTCATGTGGCCGGCATGACTAAATGCCAAAAGCGCACGGAACGCTGTTACTTTCCCACCAAAGGTGGTCCCTGTTTTTCTAGGTGCTTTCGAGTTGCTAGGTTGGCAGAAGCTGGGACAAGTAACGGGACCTCACCCCGTTACCCGGCACTAGGGATTCGAACCACCGAACTGCCGACCTTTGGATGGACAAGCTCAGCATCTTAGCCATTGAGCCACCAGGTCCCTGTCTTCCCCTACAGCCGAGCAAAGAAACTGCAGTTATTTTCAGACCAACCCCTTCAGTCTCTCTCAGGGCTAATCTTCGCCAGGGTTTCCCGATCCCTGCAATTTCCATCATTCTTAATCCGAATTGCTTTTTTAATTTTTTTTTTTTAAAAAAGAGGCTTTTGGGGTGGGTAAAAATTGCAGGACAAAAAAAAGGATGGCGGCCGTTTAAGGATGCAAAAGTTGGCTTAATACGGGGAGGTTTTTTTTTTGCAAACATTCCCACCCACCCACCCCCGACGGGTCACGGCATTTTCCCAGCATCTGCTAGAGAGAAGCCCTACCACGCTTTCTCCTGCAGCCCCCCCGCCTCGAAGCGAATTCGCAGCACAAAAGCCGGAGAAACGGAGACGCCTCAAACCAATTTCAAAGCCAGGCGCTGCTTCCGCTTCTAAGGCAGTCTGGCTTTACCGGAAGCGCCACAAATCCGCAAGCACGTGAGAACAAAACAGAAACCGGAGTCTGTGGGGACCGGAGACGTTGTTGTTGTTGTTGGCTACGTCTGGTTCTTTCGCTCGTAGGGCGTATCAGTAAGCGTTGTATGAAATTCCACCCTCCACCCATTCCTCTTGTAAGTCACCAAGCCAAGCCAAAAAAATTGTAACAGTGTTAGGAGGGATGTGTAGAAGGTCGAGATGCTGCTTTAAAATGTAGAACAACTAAAACGTGTGCAATAATGCCTCCTTAAGGTATTTAGGAAACTGGAGGAAATGGTCTTTATTTCTGAAGATGGAAAAAAGGAGGGAGGAAAGAGACCCTATTCCGGCCATCTTGCTTGTGAGCAAAAAGGAAGGGAGGAAGCGAGAATTGACATTTTTTTCCCCCTAGGGTGCTAGGATTATTAGAGCGGCGTTATCCGATTTCTTTACTCTTTTTCAGGAAAGCTTTATTATTCCCTGGTCATTACAGTGACCATGCGTCCTTTATTATAAAGGACAGGCCTTGAAATGTGACAGGTTGTTTGATTTTAGATATTTTTATTAGAATACGTATTTTTGTATTGGTTTTGTTCTTGAGTTTTTCTTTGTACTGCAGTTACAAACATTAACAATTTTTTTTTTTTTATCCTTATGAACCTCTTTCAGATTTTGTCTTTTTTCAGGTTTGGCTTCTATTTTTTTTTTCCCCAAGAAAACATGATCGCTGTGCTGATAATGCACACTAGCTTGAAGAAATAAGCAGAGTAGTCTAGTAAACTGCACCAAAAAGTACTTTGGACTCTTCTGGCATGCTTTTTCTTTTTTGCTTGAATACATATTGCTGTTTATATTCTGCCAAGTGACTTGAACAACCTGTACTTGCCCCATATGATACAATCCCTTTGTAACATGACAACAGTGCACTGAAATATTCTCAATACATACCAATATAAAAAACACCTCTAATGTTTCTCTTACCATATCCCTTTGTTCCCCCTTCTCTGTAATTTATGTCTTCCGTATTTGGAATCCCTGTCATTATTTTTTATAATTTCATCTATTTTATTTTACATAGGTGAATGCCCTAATGCTAAAATGTACATAGGAGAAGTATTAACAGTAAGTGTGGGGTATCCCTGAGTCTTTTGTAAAATAATTCAGGGGAGAAAACCCATGATATTGGCTTCTATTTGTTTAATACTTTGATAAGGTTTTAAAATCCCATATGGAATCAAAGATATAAGACAATGGCACTTCGAAGCAAATATCTGTTTGCTTCACAATCTACTGTTTTAGTATTATGATCTTACAAAGGGCAATCTGATATCTCTAGGAAGTTTACACAAATACTGTAAAATTAAAGAGCAATAGCCTGTTTGATCTAGTGTCTTCAGTCTATTATTAATTATTGGATGCGGGGGAGAGAGATTTCCTTTGCTGTTTGTCGAAAAGTTACTTTACATGTATAACATTCGGGTGGTGGAGTTTAATAACAATTTTTTAGACTGATGAATTTCATTTGAAAAGGGTTTTAACAAAATGTGGTATTCTGAAAAGGTGCTATCAGACTCCTTATGACTTTTGGTTATTGTAAACCAGAGTCTCCAAACTCTGGTCTGTGAACCAGATGTGTCATGCACTGGCCACGCCTACGCCCGGTTTAGCAAAGGGGGAAAAAGTCCTGATACGTCACATATCACTAAACCGGGTGTGGGCGTGGCCAGTGCGTGATGCATCCAGCCCGCGGGCCGCAAGTTTAAGAGCCCTGTCTTAGTGAAACACAATATTTGAAAAATCCCGTTAATAAGACTCCAAATACTGGTGATAAAATCAAAAGCACATGCCTCTCTAATACACACAGAATCATATTAATACTCCCTTTGATTTTGGCTCCAAATTTTGCACTGATAGGACAAGTCCAAGCCATTTTAATTACTTTTTCAACTGACTTCTCTGAGAGGGTTAGCATTTTTTTTATTTTTATTTTTTAATTTGATTTATATGCCGCCCTTTTCCGGAGACTCAGGGCAGCTTACAATGTGTTAAGCAATAGCCTTCATACTTTTGTATATTTATACAAAGTCAGCTTATTGCCCCCACAAACAGGGTCCTCATTTAACCTACCTTAGAAAGGATGGAAGGCTGAGTCAACCTTGAGCCTGGTAAGATTCGAACCTGCAGTAATTGGAGGCAGCTGTGTTAATAACAGGGTGCTTTAAACCACTGTACTACCAAGGCATTAAATTCATGTTAATAGTATAGGAATCTGATTTCACATTATTTAACTAGAACTCCACTGCTGACCAGGACAGGGTGCCCCAGTTCATTATATAAGGGCCATGATGAAAGGGTCTGTTGAAAGGGATTAATGGTTTAGAATTAATTAGTTAATTGCACTAAAATCTCCAACAGTTGGAGAATGTGGTTCAAATAATAAATGAGTGGAATAATCTGCCAAGCAGCATTTTGAAGTAAATCAGATTAGTTTTTTAAAAAATGTCTTTATCCAAATTGATATTAGTTTATTCCAAAATAGATTTAGATGTTCCAGGTTTCAGGTAAAACAAATCCAGAAAGGTCTTATAAAACAAGGAGGGCAAATATAATGTCCCTTGGTCCTGCATGGCCCATCTGTATGTGTCCTGAATGCCTTTCTTCCCTTACTTAACTTCAGCCATGATATACCCACCAACTTGCTTCTCCCAATCTTCCCAGCCCCTTCTTTTCCATCTCCGAAGGACATCAAAGAGGAAAGGAAGATGGTTGAAAATCAGAGGAAGATAGGTGAGCCAGTTGGATATGCTTTGGATAGTGTAATATGACTGTAGTATGACAAGAGCCGCATGTTCAACCAGCCTATAACTTCTCATCTTCTCAGGACTTTCCCTATTTCTCCTTGACCATTACTAATGTCTGTGGCAGGAGGATATTATGCCTTTAAGGCTCATTGTTAGCAGATTCCTCTTAGCTGAATAAGCATGATTTATATTTTACACATTGACTGTATCCCTTTTTCCAGTTATTTTAATGTGTACCGGTTGCTGTGTATGATTGGCTATCTTCCTATAAGTAAAAGGACTTGTTTGCAGTTTGAAGTCACTTGATAGTGGACCTTGAACCTCAGATAAAGCCACAGGGTAGTGCTGGTCTGAAAGTAACCAGAATTGTTACTTATTGGGCTAGCATGTGGTATATTGTATAAGTAATGAGTCATTGGGAAATGCTGTAGAGAATTGATAAAGCGGTAAATGGCTTCAGCTATTTCAGTTGCATACGATAGCTAGCAGGCCCAAACCTTACAAATGAATCATTATATCTCTTAATTAAAATAGTTCAACAAAGTAAATAATTTGTACGGCATAATGTGGTCTCCCTCTCCTGCAAAGTTTTTAAAATATTGCTATGCAACTTGTTCTGGGATTATTAAAATGATACGTTTTGTTCACTGCAGCAATATAAAACATATGCTAAAGTGCCATCAGTACTTCTTCCTGTTTCGAAACTAGCTTGTTTTAGTGAAGAACCTCTACAGGAGCAGTAAAAGTAAAGGAGTCCCTGCAGATTTTACTCCGTTAGTTGTTGCATGATATCATGGAATGCTGTTACTTTTCCCCCAAAGTGGTACCTATTAATCTACTTGCATTTATATGCTTTTGAACTGCTAGGTTGGTAGGAGCTGGGGCAAGGAACGGATGCTCACCCCATTGTGTCGTGCTTGGGTCTCAAACCTGAGCTGCCATCTTTCCAGCCAACAAGCCCAGCTTCTTAACCGCTAAGTCACCCATACCGCCCCTTACAGGAGCAGTGGTATTCCAAAATTATCTAACAAGAGCAACTTATGTAGACCTCTCAGACAATTGTATTATTTAGAAGTTCATTGTAGTAAAATAATAAAGGGCAGTATTGTTTATTTTGTGTTGAATGAATTGGTTATCCAAGGCTATTTCAGGTAAGATGAAAATCAATCCATACAAATAAGGCATTTCCCATTGTATTACAACTAATGGTTGTCATCTTTTGCTGCCCAGTTTTCCTTTTCCAACTATCCTAGAAAAGAATTCAGGCTGAATGACAGCTTGGCACAAAGTTCAATGTTACAAATTCCTGCCAGTGTGAAACTTAACCTTGTTGTGCCAAAAATAAATATGTCAGTTGTGCCTCTCTTTGCTTTCACATATATTAAAGAGTATTTCTAATCAAAGTTTAACTCTGAATGAAGCAGTTAATCATAGAGTAATAATCATGGCTAAATAAACAGGTCTCTAAATCAGCAATCAACCATAATTATCTGCCTGTCTCAGAGTCTGTTTGAGCTTGTGCTCTAAGACTACAACACTTTAAACATTTACAGTAATCTGCTCAAGTGCTTCCTGTTTCAGACCTATTGTGAAAATGTGTCAAATCTCAACTCTGAATGTCCTTTGCTGTAAACAGAGCTTCTACCCTGATTGCAAAATCTAAACAATATCAACCATTGTTTGCATTGACAACTGGGGCAGTAATTTTAGGGTGAACAAGCAGGAGGTATATTCAAACAAGCTGAAGCATAAGTAAGGCCAAATAAATAGAAACAGTCTTGAAACACAAAATATAATATGTAAGTAAGTAAGCTTAGAGCAGTGTAGCTGGAGAAAAACTACCTTGATCTCTCAAGGGGGCTTTTGGTAACATTAATCACAATAGCTTTCTGGATGAACTACAGGCACTGGGAGATGCCAGAGATGCTGTGTTAGTAGTTCTTTCTCGGTGGTTGATTCCAGTCAGTGTTGATGGGGAAGAGATCTGTGGCTCCTTATGGGGTGATGTAGGGCTTAATACTCTTGCCCTTTTTGTTTAATATTTACATAAAACCACTGTAAAAGAGTACCTGCTGCTTTATTTATTAATCAAATGTATATGGTTGCCCATCTCACAGAAAGTGATTCTGGGTGGAATAAAACAATCCAATGAAATTGTAAATAAAGAAAACAATCATTACCTGAAACCAGTTTGGGATCATTTTAATTGTACATCTTGACCTGGGCTTGAAAGTCTTGTCCTAGTGTCTGGAAGCTGTGTAGGTCTGGATGGATAGGGACAGACTTGGA